ATTATTAAGCTCATTTGAGTAAGTTAAATAATTATTAGACCAAATTAAAGAGCCAAATTCTAGGTTTGATCTAACTAAAGAAGTACACAATTTTTTTAAACATTTAGGATTTCTAAAGTCCTTAGTAATAATTAACGTAAATTAATCATTATGATTGCGAAGCGATTGAAAATAAAAAAGACAATTTGTCCTCTATAACACAGACAGTATATTCATACTGTGCCTATAAAAAAATTTTAACTACACAGAAACTTTACTCATTTTGTATGTGTAATTTTCTAATTATGCGTACCTATATTTTAATAATAAACCGTCACGGCGTCACATAATATTATATTGTATGGAGATCGAGCTATTGCAGACCGGTTTCAAATACATTAAGATAATTCAATACTCATTACTCAATAGGTAAAATTTTATTTAGGATATTTAACTGATGGGCACGAATTAAAACGATTTTATTGCGAATAGTTAGTTACAAAATAAATTAAGCAATGCAATTGAGACATAAAATGAAGTCAAATCTTAACCTTTGGGGAAGGGGAGGGATTAAGGGTTCAAACCTCACACGCCGAAATTGTATTTACCATTTACGTAACCTAACGTAAATTGTATACCCCCCCCCCCCGGAATTTGTTCTAAGTACGGCCTTGAAGATAATAATTATTATAAGCTCAACTGATCATCTTATAATTGCAGTCATTAAATTATCGACTATATAGTATAACACAGTTTTGATGGGATATTATGTCAGCAGTATAACAAATCTATTAGCAATATTATAACTAATTGATTTATGTATAACAATGGTATAACATCGAATATAATATTATTATAATAATATACATCATTAAGTATTGAATACCTATACCAAAATATACATTATGTGAAATCTGGTTTACATTTTTTTGAAACCAATGTTAAATAAAAAGTATCAAATCAAATTGAACGAGAGAAATGCATTTTATTCAAGTTCACCAATATTTATTTTTAATTGATAATTATTAATTACATTTTTAGCAACTAAATAATAATATATATTAATAAACACTATAAGGTTTAAATAAAATATTTATTTTTCTTGTTATATGATATCTACCACAAATATAAATTTCATTATTTTAAGAACTCTATAAGTTATACCATATTTAAACATATATTTTACGATACATTTTCAAAGTTATTAAATAACAAATGTTTATTATTTCTATTCTTCGTTTTATAAAGGTCGGAAAACATAAACGGAGAATGTTGGTTATCACACTAATGATCGATATTGATGTTGTACATGTTTGTACTATATACTATACCTATAAGATAATAAACAACTTACCAATTAGAATGGAATTTTATCTAATCGGCTTGTGATGAAATGCATGTTATTATAATATAAAACTATATGAAAACAAATCGAAATTTCCAATGTGAATAATTTGATATTTTGATCAGTTCTTCGATTATTTAAAAGAAAATAAACTCGTATACCACCTATAATACACATATATACCTCCTCCCCATATACGTCCTACATAATATATTACAGTAATTTCATAGACAAGAATCAACAGTAATTGACAATGAATGACTTTCACGTTTTTATGAGCTACAAAGTCATCGAAAATCAGGGAAAAAAGATGATGTTGACTATGAGTTTATAACATCCAGTTGTCCTCCAAATACAAATCCATATAAAGCAATTATTTTTTTCACGCATGATTATTTTATTTTCGTCGATAACGAATTTTAATGTTCAATAATTTATAAGCATATTGTTTGTTTAAACAGCTTAATTAAATTAAAGATATGTAATGAAATAAATGCTTTTTTTATTGAATATTTACTCTATAGGTACTCAACAGTGGCGTATTAATAGAGGGGGATATTATAAGGATTGATATATATTATATATAATGTATACAATTTACATGGTACCTACCTATGCAATAAACATAATAACATTTTAATAATAAAAATTCCATCATCCTCTTTAAAAAATCCTAATTACGAGTAACTAGTGCTGATATAAAAACTATAAAATACTAAATAGTATCCAGCGGGCAGCAGTAGTAAATACTAAATAATATATATTTTTAGTAAAATATAACTTTTATAAGATGACATTATTTAAGTTATTTAGTACGAATTCATAGAATCTACCTTGCTTTTTGTTCAGGAGAATAAATTATATATTCTTCGTAAAAAAAAAATGAGGTCATTTAATAATATTAAGTTATACAATTTATTCATCTGATTCTTTTAGAAAATGTATATTATATAACACAACACTATTCAAAATAGGTACCTCCTATTGATATAGATTTATTGAAGTTATTGGTACAATAGTATAGATTATAGACTATAGGTTAGATTATTTACATTATGTAGTGTACACATCAATACCACAGCAATACCTACTCAATCATTTTCAAACCAATCAAAATAGTATGTGCACATCAAAATCCAATTAACATAATATTATACATTTTGGATACTTATGTGTAATGATACATTTACTATATATTTATAATTTATAACTATTTTGACATCTCCCTTGGTTAACCACAATAATTATTTTGTGGCGATATTGTTGGTCGTTTTTCAGCAGGTAAAGTCTTAACTTCTTAAGGATAGACCTTTACCGTTGTAAACTATTGTAAGCATAAAACACATTATTCGAGTGATCTTAATGTTAAATTAAGAGGTAAAGTCAATACAAATAAAATAATATATTCCAATTAAAATTTAAGTGTAATTATGCTATTTATGCATATTTTTATGGTAACTTTTTTAAAAAGAAATTTACGTAGAAGAATAATATTAATGATGAGCATAATTTGGTAGGTACATTTTTTTTATAGACTTTTAATATTTATTCTTAATAATCTTTTTTTAACCATTTTTTTTTAGTTTTAATTTTAAATATCATCAAATCTCAATCAATTTCATAATCTTTTGATGGATAAATAATTATTATTGTTATTATTATTATTATTCGTTCAAATATCAAAGTTTTAACTTAAATTGACTGTAAAAAAAAATTAATCAATGTATTTTGGATATTTTTTAATTTTTATAAGAAAAACGCTTATGAGGGAGCTGCAGCTATTTCGTTAATAATGTTCAAGCCTTATAACCACTTGCACCTTATGCATAAGAGTTTTGAAAATATAATACATTTTTAATTACTGTGTTTCAATAAGAATAACTTATGAAGAAACCTTGTATTTGGTAGGTACACTTTAAAATTGTATAAAATAAAAATAATATTTCATAGAAAAAAACCATAACAATTTTAGCAATGCTGTAAATAGCTTGAAATTAGTATGAATATTTCATAGCATATAGAAAATTATAATTTAAATCAAAATGGAAATGGAAAATTTCAAAGATTGTTATTTTTAAATTTTAAATTTGAATAAGATATATTAGTTATTAGAATGAGGATGAGTTTCCAATATCGTTGTTTCACATGACGCTAATATCATACGTGTATACAGCCAGTAGTAACCAAAATGTCTTTATTGTATATATTTCATAATGAATAATATTTCTATGAGTGAAAATAAAACCTCTTTTATTGAGTTTAAAACGAAATCTGAGTGAAAACCAAAAAGTTATAGTTTTATTCAAAAACAGTGTTACAACAAAAAAAATAATATATACTTAAAGTATAAATCATAATAGTACCAAAATATAATCAGAAAATGTTGGCATCCAATACTTAGGAAAATTTCAATTAATTTATAAAATAATTGACAATTTATTATGATTTATAAGAATTTTCAAATTTCAACGTATAAACTTACACTTTATACACTTTCCATACTGTTCTATACATCATATTCATATATTATTATTTATTACGTATTTCAAATCATACAATAATTTTTAAATACTTATAATATTAATGGAAAAACGAATTTTTGAGTAAAATATATTATCGTTATTATATTTTAGTTCCAGTTTATTATGCACTATCAAATCAATTATTTATTATAATATTCCTATACATACTCATAAGTTATAACGGTTAATATTATACTTGAGTCTTTGATTATTGGAATTAAGGGTAGAACCTGAATGCGTACGATTTAGCCTTTTGGAACACGATTGCATATATTTGTTGAATACCTATAACAAAGGAATCCCTTAATAACGATACAGTTTCGTACTAAATAGGCTTCAACGTTGTCAAATTTATCATTATATAATTTTCAAAATAATATCGAATTAAATTTTTTTAGCTGCTTCAAATAAAACATTACCAACCTATATAGGTATCATTAAAGTATCATTAAAGTATTTTTTTGAATTTTTTACTTATTATATATTTTAATTGCAATATGAATAAGTTTTAAATCCTATACATATTAGATCTATTTTTTATGAATATCTCTTTAAGATTGAACACATTTTTCCAATTGTTTCAACCTACGAGAGTGTTGGTGAATGAGCCCTATGCAATTGGGTATTGTAAACGTTCTGTGGACGGTTACTAGACAGTTTGTTGATTTATAGATTTATTTTATTTTGTTAGTTGTATACAATCGTAAAATTTGTATAATTTGGCAGCATCGTACAAAAACAAAATTAATTAAATATACGAAATCACGTGTTATTGAAAAGGTACAGACGATAAACACTGTATTCTATCCGACAGGAGTCTCTTCAATAAGTAAACAAAAAATGTGTTCATTAGCTCTCCATTCGCGTCAAATATATAGGTAAAAAAAATATTTCAAAGCATTTAGTGTTGTTTGTTTTTATTTTCACCTACAACCATTTAAGAAGGCACAGTTTCATCCAGTCTTTTTATTCTCTCGCAAACATTCTACGAGTCGGACGCTTGGACCTATCTTTATTTTATTTAAATATTAAAAAATAATATCATATTATTTTGCCGGAAGCTAAAGAGCGCTATTAAAATTATAATATAAATCAATTTTTTTTATTTAAAAAATCCAAACTACAAAAATCCGGCCTGAAAATCAGCGAGTTACCGAGCTCAAAGTCACTGTCTACGGTCTTGTACAAAGCGGCGGCGGCGGTCATGTCCTGCATCATCATGATATTGTCGAAGCGTCGCAGTGCGGGGATTGCCATCGCGATGATCGTGATCTGAGGCGCCACCACTAATCACTGACATTATCGTGCCGACGGCGGCGGTCGCAGAACGCGTACTGCGGAGGCAGCTGATGCCCGCCGGTCGACGGCTGACGGTGCATTCTTTTCGTCGCGATATAGCGGCGGCGGTGGGCGGGCGGCGCCGTCAGACGATTTCAACGGCGGTGATGGTGGTGGACGACGATGACGACGTACGTCGCTTCGCAGCAGCCGCGGTCGGACTAGACGCGAAGACGACGACAGTGGCGTTTTAGCGCACACCCGCTTGTTATAGTAACATTGTCGTCATCGTTATGCCGCGTGCCGATACACCGCCGCTCGAGGGTTTGGCGTCCCTTCGGCCGCTTTGCACGTCATTATGATATTTTGTATCGAAAATGCCCTAGTGCCAGTGTTTGCGGGAGGAGAAGAATTTTCCTTGTCTCAAGGAAAACGGCTTTTCCTTCCGTCCCGGAAGAGGATCAGTGTCGTTTTCTCGTCCGACGATCAATTGATGCGCGCGACCATGCACGTTTGAAACAAACGGACGAGAGCAGCGACGACGACGGCAACGATGCGGACAACCCGAGCGCGGCCCATTCACTGATTGGAGAAAAGATCTGCCGACGCCGCCACCGCCGCCGCGCGGTCACCCAGTTTTATTGAAGTCGTCGTCGGCAGGCGGCGGCGCGGCGGCATGTATCCGGCAGCCCCTACTATATAGTGTAACGTTCCCGCCGCCCCTACCCGCGGTGCAAACCTTTTGACTGTTCATTAAAAAAAAAAACCCGACCGACCGACGCAAACCCGCTCTGCTTCATTCCATTCAGTACAAATAATGCAATCGCGTAAATAATACAAACGCGAAACGTGAATTATAATAATATGAGTAAATACTACACAAACGACAATGGCTTTATTATAATAATATTATGGTATAATAAATTATTATTAGTTATTATTTTAGACGTCAATAATATTATGGTATTGTCGGTAGGCATTGTCAGATTAATATAATATACGTAATACAGATACAGATACGGTGATGCGAGTTACTATTTACACTGCTTGACAGCGTCTCTTCTATTTCTCATCACGATTTCTTACGCAGTTATCGGGCCATATTAATAAACGTTCATAATTATAAAATATTAAAGGCTGTTCTAGAGCCTGTTACCTGTTTTCAAAAGGACTCATTTTTATTTGTGTCCCCGGGTATGCAAATAAACAAGAAAAACATTTTTACTTTCTTGATTTTTAATCAAGTAAGGATGGTAATTGAAATGAAAAAAGTCTGATTTTTCAAAACTTCAAGAATTTGTGTTAAATAGGAAAATAATAAAAATTTAACGCAGTAATAATGAGTAAGTGGGTAATTAAGGTAGCTTTAATATAAAATATCCGATATCACACATTAACGGTTTAAAGATTTGAATCTACAAAAACTTGGCGTGACAGTCCCAAAATGTCTATTTTTTAACTTTTCTTCTAACTTATGATTGCTAGAAAGTTAGATGATAGTAAATTTTTCTGGATTCAATGTTGATATAAGTGTGATATCAGTTAATACATTTCTAAAAATTAAAAATAAAGAAAGTTTACATGCCAATCGCTGATTTGGCAAGCGTTTTTTTAATTATTATTATAACATTTTAATGTAATTATTACTATACCTAATTTGTTTTATGCGTATACCAATACTTTTTATTATTTGTGTTTAATGTTTTTAAAAAGAATTTATTTTTAATTGAATGACAATTATATAATATATTTGTATTAATAAAATTTAATGAGAGATAAATAGAGACCAGATAATAATTTATGCCATAAATCATCCATTAATTCGCGTGACTACAAAAATTATAATTTATAATACTTCGAACCATCAGTAGATAACATCTTATATTGTTATTGTTGAGCATGCACAATATTTTTAAAAACTATAAGTAATTATAGAGATTACGAGTTTTGATCCCGGTCCAAATTCATATTTTGTAATTAGTTTATATATATGAACTAATAACTATGTATGCATAATAT